CTTCTTACAGGAGACGGCGTTTCGGAACTCTGTGATCATCTCCTGACAGACAGACACCTAAAGGAGAAAAGGAAGGAGGGAGGAAAGACGGAAGGGAAGGAGGCAAAGGTAGGAGGGGCGCCACAGACCCAAAGTAGCACGCAGCAGAACAAGACAGTGGTAAGGCAGTACATAAATAGGAGAGCGGAGAAAAAACAAAAAAAGTGAAAGGGAAAAGAAAATAAAAAACAAAAAGAAGAACAAGGCAGGAACAAGGCAGAAAGAACAGACACAGTAAGGGATGGTCAACGAAAAAGGTCGCAGGAGAAGCGAGGGCACAGAGATCAACAAATGGAGGGATAGTTTGAAAACAGAGATGAAGAGGTGATGGGGAAGGATGTGGAGATGGATAGAGATGGGAGAATATCCAAGGAGCAGAGAGAGTTATTACAATCCAAACACACAAAACACCAAAATGTTGTTTAGTTTATGGGCACTTCATTATGGCACTATGCACTATGAACGGACAGGCAGGCCTGCAAACTCAGGTGCACATATACAAAGGCACAGTCACGCATACAGCAGCTGTGCTCACCTTCACACACACACACACAGTAAGACACACTTCCACACCCACAAATCTTTTTTTATCATTCCAGCAGCATGACTACTATAATTTGCACACATGACACAAACAAAATGCATCAACATATCCACTACAGACAAACAACATTCTCATTGAAATCATAATAAAAACTCATGTGCTCACATAAACAGAAACAGTAATCATTATCGGAGAACAGACACTGATGACAGGAGGTGTGTGTTTGAGAGAGAGATAGAGGGAGACACACAGTGAGATGGGTGAGAAGTAATCCAAGAATGGAAACGAAGAATACCAGCGTACATGTGAGGCATGTAAAAGAAGATACATCATGACATTTAATGCCAGGGAAAAAGATCACACTACTTCTTTATGCAAGCAAATATTGGCATTTTTCAATATTGCTTATCCGAACCATCAAGTTTAGCTCACAAACACTTATAGTGCCATACTGTTAAACACCAAACACTAAAAGGGCACAGTGACTTCAAAACAGGCAGGACATGCAAAGTGAAATCAAATTCTCTATTTGTTGTATATATTTTGGACACAACAGCATTTCAGTGCCGCGTACTTGAACATTCCTCTCATCTCACATGCGCATAACACATTGAACCTCAAATGTTACAGCACACACAAACAAACAAACACATACGAATGGAGGCAAAAGCTGAAAAGAATCTACTCATCCTCACACACAAACACACACACAAAACAACATAATCAAAAGGGTTGGTGGGATGCCATGGGAACCTACTGGGGTGTGTCTGTGGGGTCGGCGAGGGCAGGTATGGGGGCATACCTCATCGGTCTCTGCCGAGCGGCGTGTCGACCACACAAACTCCATAATGGCCACAAACACGGCAATAATGAGGCCACAGATCAGCACCACAAAGATGCCCCCAATGTTCTCCATGCCCAGACCTGAAAGTGGGCCACAGGAGACAAACATTAGCGCTCACACACACACATGCAGAAACACACCAACACTGGCATGGTTTTAAATGCTTTTTTAAGATTTACTACTTTACGTTTAAATTTAGTAGACATGAGGAGTACTAGACAGCCTGTTAAAACCTTTGCATATGTTGTGGCTCTAGAGAAGCTCTGTTAAAGAAATAGTTCAACATTTTGGACAATATGGCTGTTTTATGTCTTGCGTGGAGTTACACTGATACCATTCTTGTGTCTTTACAATTAAACTGAAGCTGTCTCCAGAAGCTGGTTAGATTAGCTTGACATAACGACTGAAAACCTGCCTCTGTAAGAAGGTAACAAAATCCACTTACGTGCACCTCTAAAGCTTACGAAGCAACCAAATAAATAATGACCACCTGTATAACCACAACTTGATGTTCTTACACTTTAGTTTTTATACGTATTAAAGAGTAGCTGTTACCTCTTTTCTACTCTTAACTAAGCTAACAAGCTGCTCATTGTAGATTCCATATTTGTCTGTATCAATTTGGAAAAGTCTGAGAAAATAACTCAAGTGACCTCACTTTCGTAATCTCGGGACAAAGCTTTTATTAGTCAGTCTGTGTAACAAACTGCAGGAGTTTGAAAGACAGGCCTCACCACTTAGGGAGGGTCTAAGTGTAGGATTCAGTATTTTTGGAGCTTGACTCATACAAGGGACTAAAAATCTGGATTTCTCAGCCTCTACAGCTCCAATCTTGTCCATTCTTTTCTCTGCAAGTATCTCAACTTTACGTAATGCAATACTAAATCACTGGAGTGCTCCCTCAATTGAATTAAAACATTTAAATGACCCATGATGAAGTGGATGAGTGAATACCGGAATTATGGGGCCCTGAAACGATCGAGATACACTGTACAGATGAAGCTCAATGATGCTGAAAAGTAAGGCGCAAAATCCCTTTTTTTTTCCAGAGTTACCAAAATCATTTTCAAAGGAGATTTTCATCTGACAGTGCGGAATAAATGCCAAGGCATTTTCATTGTCTTTGTCATTTATACAGGCACAGACACATTTAACACACAGGCATGAACAGACACACTCACTCTAATAAAATTCCCATTACACACCACCTGAGACAAACAGAAGACATTTGGGAAAGTAGATTGTGCTAAGCACCCTTCACAAGGACATTAGGTTAGGCATTAGCCATTAGCTAGACTGTAGCAGAGAGTGAGGAGACTATTACTGTGGACATTAGAGAGAAGGAGGTAGAGGAGACAGACAGCTGCGGTCGACTGACCCTTGGCACGGTGGTCCTCCTCTTTGGGACATTGGCCTCCCTCCCACCACCTCCTCTTCAGTATCTCCAGCCTGTTATTCTCCTGCAGCTGGAGGATGGCCAGTGTGATGTCATCTCTGAACGGAGACCCTGGCAAAAGACAGGAAAGCAGAATAAGAGCAAGTCGTGGAGGACGGAGATGGTGCAGCAAAAGAGCCCAAACTAAACGGGTTATTTCATGAAATGAGTGTAAGAGAAAAAGGAGGAGGAATCACAAGGAAAGAATTGCTGTTGCAGCCTCGAGATGGCTACCAGTGATCTTACAGTGAGAATAAAGAGAGGATTAGTGAGAGATAAAGAGTAAGATTACGACTAGACAGAGCCAGTGGTACAGCTGCTGGTCAGACAGCATACAAAGCATGTTATGAAGTAGATACAGTAGAAAAGAATGCGCTGGTTTAAAGGGTCAGTTCACTTGAAACTACAAATGTGTTTTTTCAGTTACCCTAGTGTTATCCAGCTATGAAGATAATCAGCAGACCTCAATATGAACAATTTTCATTGCAACTACTTTCTGCAAGAACACAGGTCAGGTGAAAATGTTTGACAATGTATTCAATAAAATATTCAGAGTAACAGGGTCGGTTGTGTTTCTTTTAATTAAACTCAAACTACCCAAAAACAGTCTGTAAACAGAGCACGGAAAATGATTTCAGATAGCATTCAACGAGATCATCACATTTTATAGCTGTTATCCTCTGGGAAGCACCACAGATCACTTCCCAGCATGACAAACCATTTAAAAAATACAATTGTTTTATTTCCCAGTACGATACATAACCTTAAGCTACAACCAGGAGATGATCCAAGCTTAGCTGGAAAAAGTTAGACTGGTTCTGTCCAAAATAAAATCTGTCTACTAGCAGCTAAAGCCCACTAATTAACACATTATATCTTGTTTGTTTATCTGTTGAATAATGGAAGGCAGCAAGTTATAGTTTTACAAGGGTTTTAGGCGAAACAATTTCTTCCTGAAGGCTGAAAAAGTCTCATTTTTATCAACCTTTGGACAGAGCCAGACTAACTGATTTCCTCTGTTTCCAGCCTTTCTGCTAAACAAAGCTAACCGTCTCCCTGTGTAAAGACTTTGTGGTTTCCATCATCTAACTTCTAGCAAGAATGTGATCAAATGTATTTCCCAAAAAATTACAAAAAAAAGACAACTATTAATTTAAATTGAGAAAGGCCTAGTGGCAAGTGAGAAAACGTGTTTTTTTTGGGAATTTGGGTGAACCAACCCTTTAAAAGTATTTTTAATTATCCTTTTGCCTCTAGACCTCTTTCTTCTCTCTGGTCTGTCTCTTCGTGTCTGTGTGTGCGCTCCATGCTAATGTACAGTAACTCTGCTTCATCTTTCTCTACACCTTTTGGTCTGTCATAGCTCACTTTTTGTCCTCTTCCTTCCCCTCTCTAGTCATGCCCTCCTCCTCTTCGTTAGAACAGATCACTGTGATGCACTGACACCACCTTTATGTGCTAAAAAAAGGAGCTTCAGAAGAGCTGGACACGTGTGGAAAAGCAATTAACTGCATGTTCATTACTTTCAGTTAAAATACTTACTAATCCTGTAGATAAAAAAATAAATCAACCACGTACAAGACATTTTTCAGATCTAATCTCTCACCAATCAGTACAACTACATGTGTCTATTTAGCATAATTGATCTAATGCAAGTGTTTCTGTCTGCCTCACTGTCTCTTTTATTGTGTTTTTTATTGTGTTTGGATGAGGTTTATAGAGAAAAGTTTGTTAAGATCAGCATTTTTACACAATTTAATTTTTTACTACAGTAAATCTGTGTGACACCATTGATCAGAACAGGCACAGATAATAGGTTTACATCCCTGGTACTGCACTGGAATTGTTCTCATCTTAACTTTCATGTTAAAATGTTGTTCCATTTTGGTGATCTTCTTTTCTTCTGCTTCTTTAGCTGCATGTGGCACAATTTCATGCCCTATAATTTGGACTCTTTGTCCACTGCAATGTCATTGTTCTCCACTACTATAATAACAAAAGCCTAGTGACAATTTTAAGCAAGCATATTATTAGTTTGCTTATGTTCAGGATTGGATGTCTGATGTGTTTCTGAAGGTAAACAAAGCCAAAGAGCTTGAATGCAAATTAGTCATTTAACACAGTGGTTTTCAAACTAGGGGTCGGAACCCCCGCAAGGGGCTAAAGGATGAATTGAAGGGGCTGTGAGATGATTACCAGGGGAGGGAATAAGAAAATTGCATTTCTGATGCATTTATTTGGGGTTTTTGCTTTTTTTCTTGTCAGATACTACATAGTTCTATCTCACTTGGCCTAAAAAAAGTATTCAAATGAAGCAGTCTAATAAAGGATGCAGCCTGTGGCAGATGGCTGCATGTATATGTTGCTTGAGGGGTCACAAGCACAAAAGGTTGGGAATCAGTGCTTAAGCCCCTATCCTCTTGTTCTGGTAACATTTTTTCTAACTATTTACTGCTATTATTTTCTGCTTTATTTTAGTGCCATAGTGCGTCTTGATTACTACAATACCCCATTCTTTTCCTTAATCCACAAACTGTGGCAAAATACTGCAGCAACAGCATTAAAAAGGGTCAGTGTTGCACTGGTTATCTGTTGTTATTTTTTCAATTGATTTCGGGTATTTATTAATGAATTATAGATCTAATCAAAGATATGGCAGCGATATTTGTGACCTTCCTTCCATGAAGATGTCAATCATAGATCTTCTGGCGTGTCAGTAGAGGCAAAAAGACTAAATGTGATGGAGTTTGCTGTGAGGGCTTGTAGGCTTTGAAATATCCTGCTTGAAAATGACATTTTTCAAAATGTTTCACACTGCATCTATATGTCTACTTGTGTGTGTATTGTTTCAGTATTTTGCTTGTTTTTAAATCATAGTAGTAAATTATAATATAATAAATATTAAAATAACTCAAATTCAAACTCAAATGTGATAACATACTATATTTCTGTAAAAAGTAAATTAGCAGATAGCAGCTTTAATTAGTGATTATCTCTATTAACGTGATGATTATATCTTAAGGAGTGTAACATTTGTTTGATGATAAAATAACATCATTAGAGACTATCTAAGTTTCTATAATGAACTAATGAATCTCAGCTATTACTGGGATTTAATTTCCTTCAACTAATTTATCAAAAAATCCACAAATATAATTTACATTTTGAAGTTGGTGAAGTTATTTGAAGTTATTACAGGGTACTTACATAGTTGCTACAAGCACTTTGCAATGCATGTTTTGTTTAAAAGATGATATATCAGTATTATTACCCAGTGGCATGCCGATGCCATAGCCCTTGGTGTCCAGCAGGCCTCCGATCTGTGTAAGATTGCAGTTGAGGCCACGGTGGTACTCATTCATGGTGCTCTCCATCAGGAAGGCATACTTGGAGTTGACCACTCGGGCAATTCCCTCCTCTGTGCTTTTTACAAATACACTGGGCTGCTTGGAGTTCATGTAGTTCCACATCCGCTGGTAGGTTTGGTAACGTGAGTTCTGCACAAGGGAACAGGAACATAACAATTGAAATTAAACAACGAGTACAGATGTTTATACATTCTGGGCTCCTAACATGTCCTATCATCTGTCTTTGAAGCAGAAATCAAATGGAGGTTGATAAAAACAAGGAGGGAGGATGGAAAAAGAGAAAATGAGATGCATCTTTGATAAACAGGAGAGGAAAGTACACAGAACAGAAAATATAGTGTGAATAATGACAGGAGAAAAACATCAATGGCAAATACGGGGATAGGGAGAGAAAAGAGTAGAGGGAAGAAAAGCGACGTGAATCAAGGCAACAGATTATTCACTCATGGCGTAGCTGATGCATCATCTTTCATACATAAGGAGGTAAATCAGCACACAGGAGGTGGTTCAGCACTTAGCAAAATATGGCAAGCTCCACAACAGGATTAAGTGTTTAAAGTGTACAATTACATGTTGTATCTCTGGGTATTGTGTGTGAGATAAAAGGAAACGAGCAGAGAGGGCGGCATCTGTGTGTAATAATGTGGATGTGTATTGTATGTCTGTGTGTTTGTGTGTCTGTGTGTGTGGATTAGGCATTGAGTGGAGTAATGTAGTGTAGCATTGAAACTGGCTTATGTAGGCATTAGGCAAACATGAACCATTCTTTCATATATCCTCAATATAGACAAATACCACGAGAATGTAAAATACACATACACACAGTTTGGCATGTAGCCATCTCCCATGTATGCACACAAGTAAACAAATACATAGCTTTTATGCACTCACCTACACACACTCCCACATGCAAACACACCTACACACACACACACACACACACACACACACTATGACAAACACAGATGCCGACACAGATGCCGGAAGCGCTCTCATAAGCAAACACAGGCAGTCAGCCACTTAACAAACACAAACAGCCATAAAGAAAACAACGGAAGAACTCAGAGATATAGTAGCAAATATGAGGACAACCTCTCACTCCAGGCATGGCAATAAAGACAGAAACACTGCACTAAATCACACACGCACACACAAAGGCAAAACCTTTTGTTGCTTTAAAGGCAATTCAGGAAATAGTCTAGAGTAAATCCTAAAACTGCCATCAACAACAACACAATTTAACACATACACACAAATACCCATTAAAAAAATACCAAACACAAAGCCAGCCAATGCCCCGGCTGCTGCAGCGGGTCGTACCATGAAGAACGTCATGGTGCTCCCTCCGTGGATGGTCCCATACTCAATATTGGTCTGGTCAGCCAAGTCGTCCGGAGACTCGATGGGAACCTCCATCCTCTGGACAGTCAGGAAGGCTGCCAGGTTGGCCGTGTAGGAGGAGATGATGATCAGGGTGAACGCCCACCTATGAGGTAGAGACAAAGGAGAAAGACAAAAGTGAAAAGGGTAAGAAGGAATTATCACGATATATGTTATTTCTAGATAAAAAAAACTGATACAAATGATGCAGTAAACTGTGTGGGATTTTTCACAGATTAAACAACCAATTAGGAGTCTGTTTTGGGCTAATTCAGCAAAGAAAATAACTGAGAAATCAAGACATTTTATCACTTTGTAAATTATATAAAAACTTAATATTACTATAAAGTCCTGCACATTGATTTGCAACATTTTCATCAATGGCCTAATATATCCAGAGATCTTAAAGGGAGAGACACCTTAGTATAATGGTATAAAAAAAGGGTCTTAGGTTACCCGAACAAACAGATAATATTCTACACCCATAACCTTGAAGATGGGACTCTCTTATGACCTTTCCTGCAACTTTCTTCAAGAGGAACATCATGTACTTACGACACTTAATAATATCCCGATCCCATATCTTGCTCAGTTCAGTGTAATTTGCTCTTCCTGTCTTATTCTACCCTTTATCTCCTTAGCTCTTAGCGATTATTATTTTTTTCTAAGCACATGTCTTCTTTCACAGTCACTCTGTTGCCACAGGAATATCAGGAGACTATAGTATTTCTGTGAGCTTAGCATTTTTGTATTGTAGGCTTGAAATGTCAGAGCTCAGCAGCTGAAACTTGTGAGCTATATGTCAGAGATGCTTAATATTTAAAATGTAAATGTCATCTCACACAGCAAAAGCAACCTTGGGGAAGAATGCAAGTTCTGGTGAAGAAATTAGTTAGCTAGTGAATTTGATTGCAGATATGACCCCTAAAATCTGGAACAGTTGACCACATACTGTCAAAATGACTGATTCTGTTATTGTATTTAAATTTAGTTTGAAGACTTATTTGTCTTTTATAATTGTTTTATTACAATTGTATTAATGTTTTATCTTAACCATTTTTATTTTTTATGCAGGAAGACCTGGCTATATTCTTGCTGGAAGTAAATGTGTCAAATTGTATGTGAAGATTTCCACACACTTAGATTCATGAAATATATGACTTCATTTAGTAAGCAATAAACTACTCTGTAACTTACCACACCCCACTAACACATCTGGTGGACAGGGCTCTGGGCATTATCTCTGAGCCCTGCTGCATGAAGCCTCCGACAGGGAACCACAGGCTGTTTCCCAAAGTGTACTGGTTCTCCAACATGTCCCTGCGCTCTCGCAGACACGGATGGGGGTTGTACCACTCATAGGGGCTCAGCCTGGAGGGGAAACACAGGTACAGTGGAATGACCTTGAGGTTAAACTGCTGCACAATAATGTACTTCTGTCATATCATTCAAGTCACCGCCAATCAGTCATTAAATCCCTGTCAAACTGTCTGCGGCAGGTTGCGTAAGGTAAAAAATTCCATTATGTGACAGGCGACTCGTGCTCAACAAGATAAATGGCAATAGAGCACAGATGTGAGCTGCAGACTATCAGCACAGTGTGTGATGTAATGTATGGACCTTGCAGCCAGGAAGAGCACACAGCTGACGGCCAGGTAGGCGAGCAGCATGAAGAGCCAGACAGCTGGAGAGAAGGGATCGAGGAAGGAGAAGTAACCTGGCTTTCGACCCTGGTGCAAAGAGAAAGAAGAAGAGAAAGAGAAGTAGAGAGATGGAGTGGAAGAGACAGACAGTGACAGACAGACAGACAGATAGAGAGGAAGGTACAGTGTGTTAGAAAACAAGGTGTCATGTCTCAGCAGTCAGAGATGTCCCCTTCGCACCACAGGAGGGCAGTCTTCCTCACTGCACTCTGATAGTAAGTCTGCAGTGCTTTGATACGCTAATGCTACAATCCATAAATGCTCCGTTTCACAATGCCTACTGCTGAAGCATACTTGGCTTAGACCCAAAACCTCATTAGCAATGTAAAGCTGCCACTGTTACCCAGTTACAGAGCACTGACATATTGAGCAATTTAAATTACACCTATAAATTTCACTGTGGACACAGTGGATGCAGCATACAGCATACTACACAAACACAATCCTCAGCTTCAAAAGATGAGATTAACTGTTATGTAATATTCAGTCTGATTCGTTAAGACTCGTCTAACAAGTGTAGCCCGTCGTCTTCTGTGTGACCCTGCCAGCTTAAAAGCAGTGCAAACAAAAGAAATGAAATCCAACACAAGATCTGTCGTGAGTATCACCCAGCGGGCAACCTACAACCCCAGATAACACCCTCACCAGTTGAACTCTGTATAAGATGCTGATCCCCAAGGTCATGAACGGCTTAGAAAAGTCAATAACTTTCTCTCTCTCTGATGTGATGGTGAAGCCTGCCACGGCCAGGTCTGCTTTCTGTAGGATTGACAAAGATAGATAGGTAGATAGATAGTAGTGGGGGCGAGAGAAAGATAGAGGCAGTGGAGGAGAGTCAGAGAAAAAAACGACAAGCGGTCAGGTAACTGTGCAAAAATAGAAAGACACTTGATGCAGCACTAGGTAGATGAGAGCTCTGTTTGTATAAAATGTTGACTTCCCGAATGAAAAATGAAAAGTTGGACTACGCACTTGAAAACACATTTGGAAAAACATACAGACGTGCACTCTGTCCCTTTCCCTCTGGCACACACACACTCACACATTATCCACCATCCAAATGAGGCTAATTGCAAGTAAGCACTGGGTGGCTGGTCTTTCCACCTGTATAAAACCTTGCAGGTCTCTGGTCGCTCTGCCTCCCCTCCATCTTTTCCATTAAAAGCTAATTGATGAACATGGGCTGCTAATTAGAGCTGAGTGATCAGGCAATGGGGAGGGCAGGGAGGGAGAGGAAGCGTGGAGAGCTGGGGGAGCACCAGTGTGGCAAGCCCCACACAGGGACCACAGCCTGGTAATTGAAGTATACCGTATGGTAATTAAGCAGAGAGGGGCTCTCATTAGCCTGCTTCAACCAGAGTGTCTGTCAGAGGCGCACTAGGCCTGGACACGGAGAGAAAGCGGGGGGACAGGCTGGGAAGGAGGGTTACTGCGAGGAAAGATTGTGCAGACAATTTTAGGCAATGCTACCACTCTCTTTTGGGGAATTATCAAGTCAGCTTTTGTCCTAGATAAGAGTCGTACTCCCCTCTGAGGGCAATTTGAGACATGGGAAGTTACAGCAGAGTTGTGGTTTGGGGCTACAGTGTGAGTGTGAGTGTGAGTGTGTGTGTGTTCAGTATAAGTTTCTGTTTGTAGAGAAATTGGTTGGAACATTTGAGCATGTTTCTGGTGTGCATGCAAGGCAGAGAGAGAGAGAGAGAGAGAGAGAGAGAGAGAAGGAGGGAGAAGGGGTACTCACCCTGTTGATTAGCTCTCCAACCATGCCAGTCCAAGAGCCGTTGGGCTCTGGAGCCCCATACAACCCATCATCCACCAGCTTGATCTTGAAGGAGAATTTCAAGATGTCTGCCAGCTCCCTCAACATGTCGACACAGAAGCCCTCATACTGGTCGTTACCCTGGAAGTCCTGGTAGTTGTCTTTGCGCATCACATATGGGTTCTCCTGAACATGGGGGAAACATGAGGGGTTTCACGCCAAAACTAAGAATATGATGTTCGAGGAGGGATTACTGACAGAAATATGAGAAACAGTGATTTCTATTGTAAAAAAATATCTGGTATGTCAATAATAAATCAAAGGAATACTTGATTTTTGGGAGATATGCTTTTCTTATTTTCTGGCAGAGAGTGGTGAAAATATTAATGCCACTCTCATGTCCGTTAAGTATGACACTGCAACCAGCAGATGGTTAGCTTAGCTTAGCACAAAGACTGGAAACAGGCTGAATCAGCTAGCCTGACCTTATTGCATGTTAACATCTTTCTCTCTAAATCTCCCTAATTAAGATATTATAGCATATAGTTGGTTTAATCCGTACAGTCAATCTTACTGGCTCCTGGCTTCATATTTATTGTGCAGACATGAGAGTGGTATCCATCTTTTGATCTAAGTCTTGTCAAGAGGGCGAATAAGCTTATTTCCCAGCTATGGAACTATTTCTTTAAAATAGCTAATATATCAGCATAGGTTCCTATTAGCATGCCATTGGTAATTTTGTAAGTAAGCACCCCTTTTTTTAATGCAACTCTCTCTAAAGCACTCTACTTAAATTAAATATATAAAGGGGAAATCCACTCATTTTACACATCAAAATCAGTTAATTTGGCATATAGAGTACTACTCAGTTGTGCCAGAGAAACTGTAAAATGGGGCATTGAGTTTTTAAGACACAGGACACAACCGGGCTGGGAGAGTCTAACAAAAAAATTATATATATAAAGTTTCATTATGGGAATTGTAAGACTCAGATTTTTTGGAGCTTGACCAATACTTTGGCCTGAAAGTCAGGATATCTTGGCTTCTGCAGAATCAATTTAGACCATTCATTTTTTTATTTGTCTCTTGTGAGTCCTCCAACATTATGGATGTCCAGTACTAAACTGCTGGAGTACTCCTTTAAAATACATAAAATGGCTTGAGCAAAATGGCAGCAGAAGTATGAGAGAGAGATTCTGTGAACACAGTTTGGTTACTGAAATAGGATGAGGCAGAGAAATGTACTGTATCAGGTGTTTTTACACATCTAGACCAACCTGAAGATGATGGAGCAGCATCATATAAGGGATTTATTGATTTTCTGATATGGCATTACTCATATGGAAACCAGAAGGAGACAACTTCTAGTGTTTTGACCAGGATTTTGGCAGTTAACACATTTCTCTCAGTGCTCTGTCAGTTGCTATGACAGCTACAGTGACAGCAAAATTAGCAGAAACAGACCACAACACAGCATGAGCTGCGGCAAAGCCTACACAGCAACACGAAAACAACTCTGACCTCACCAGTGTGGTGGTCCAGAAGGTAACTGTGACCTTACCAGTATGGTGGTGACAATGAGTGTCTTGTTTGCCAGGGTCTCTGAGACATTAATATCCAGGCTGGTGGAGTTCATTGCCAGGGTGTTGTTGGAGTACCAGATCCCAATCTAACAGTGAAGAGAGAGCGAGAGAAAATCAATGGCTATTGTTGGATGAATAATGTACTGTTAAGATCTAACTTCACTGCAACTTTTAATGTTGTGGCAGGCTACACACCGTCTATAACAAATAAGTATTTCAGTGAGTGCATTAACACTATTAGTCTATTTTAAAGAGCTCTGCATGCTGAATATTTTATGCTTAACTTTGGTTTCCATCTTGTTACATGCTGTATATGCACACTGATTTAATTGCCCCCACTGGAGCCATATATGTACCCACACTATCACGCATTGTAAAAAACAACAACTACTGTTTACAAGCAGAGCAATGAACTGGGACGGGTAAGTGAAGATGGAAAAGTAAGTGAAAGCATTCATGATCCTGAGGTTCATTGCCATGTCTATTTTCCTTTGCTAACACCTTTCTTAAATTGCATAAAAAACAGCCCACATATTTCCATTTTATGGAGACAGTAAAGTCACTTAAGTGTGTGATTATGACCTAACCAGTTTGCAGCGTGCAACCGCAGCTCGCAGAGGCATTTCTTTGGGAGATATTACTGTACATCTTTCAATAGGTCAGAGGAGAGGTAATGACTCCTCAGACAGAATCACAGTTTTTCTATGACACTCTTTATCCTGCCCTGACATTTAAGAGTGGTCTTTTCTCTGTGAACCACCACTGCCTGCCTACAGTGTGGGTGCTGCTGCACAGAGAGGTGGGCAGAGTTAAAGTGTTAATTATCGCAACCTAACTCCCCCACCGAGTTAACATCCAGATTTAAGTATGGTTATCAGGTGGCATTTAGTGTTAGCACGGAAGGCAGCTGGCCTGTAGTAGAGTACAGCAAGACGTATTAAGGGAAGGTGAAGAGAAAGTGTTTCCTCCAGTCAATGAACCGCAACGTAATTCCCTCACTCTGAATCTGCAGTGATGTGTGTACTTATGCTTCATTTAATCTTGACTTTGAAATTCAGGTACAAACGCAGTGAAAATCTTCCCTCACCTTTCCTCCTAATGCTCACTGAGTCTGCATCGACAGAATAATGCACCAAAATGTTCCTAAACACCTTGCCAACATTTTATTTTGGTTCCCCACATTGTCCAACTACCCTTAACAAATTTGTTGTGGCTTGTAGCTAGTACATCAAAAAGATATAGTGCCCAGACTAACAGGGGAAATGAATGAAAAGGAATTTAAGTGCAGACCAAAACTTTAAAGCAAGACTATGTAACTTTTCAAAGAAATGAATTCCTCTTACAAATTAAAAAAAGTCTTGAGCAATAAAACACACTCTTGCTTTATTCAATGCACTCAGGGGTTTTTGCTGTTACAGCCTTAATTAGTCTGGTATGACCAATAGCTTATGGTGGCTAATGTTAGCTAATGTTCGCAAACTTCAGATAGATAGTGCTTCATAACTGACATTACAAAACATTACAAACTTCACTACTCCTCTTCACTACCTGTCCTGTTGCCACTTTTGGGAACAGTGGATGCAAAAAATAAGTTAAGTTTTGGTTTAAATCATTGTCCAACTTTGCTTGACTTGGGCCTACTGCTCA